TAATCGATTATTTGATTCTCTCTTATATACTATGTATTATTTAGGCTGTACATTTGATTTTATATTATTTATTTATAATTTTTATATGTGTATGTGTACATATATGTATATTTTAAAAAACTAGATTAGCTACTTAAATTTTAAGAATGATTGTATTGTTCCAAAATGTTTAAAATTATGAGATGTTAATAAATTAATTGACTTCCGTCAAAGTTAACGGTAAATCTAACGGACGGACTCGATTAATATAGATCAAATAGATTAAGGACTAAAATGATATTTAATAGTTTGAGGACCAAAACGATATGGTGATGATAGTTCAAGGACCATTTATGCATTTTACTCTTTTTTTTTAATTCATAAACTTTTAAAAAAGTTTATAGTCTTTGAAATCCGTTGACTATTTAAGTCCATAGATTTGTAGGGTTCAGTTTTTCCGGTGGGGTTTAGCACATGCGATCGACAATTTTTTCCAGCTGTTGGGTTTCGCAGTCGAGGACGCCAAAATAGGGCAATGAGCTTGCGACAGACTTTGGTGATTTCAATGATGAATCTTGAGGAGCAGTACGACATATTGACTGTGGAGGATGAAGAGGAGTGTCTGGTGCTCGAAGATGCGGCTAATGGTGCAAACTGCAAAGGGCGTAGGGTTTCAGACGGATTTTCCGGTGGTTAGAATTCTCTTCATCGAAAAAAAATTGGGAGAGAGATTTAGCTTAAACTCATACTGCAACAACTCGTTCTTCTTCGAAACCACCTCCCTACCATGAAGCAATTTGTGAGAAGTTTTTATTTCCGTATTATTCTTCTTTTGGTAGTGCCTGTTTTTATTTTAATTCAAGTATGTATGGTTGAAGTATTTTAGTGTTTGAAGAACTTTTGTGATGCAGTGCTTCATTTTCGACTGTTTTAGGCTTAGTCTTGTCAATTTGTGTCTAGATAGTCAAGTTGTTTTATATGAGTGGCTAACTATATACTCCGTATATTCATAGGGTTAACGATCATATCTATAATAGTTATCTTGCATGTTTTATCTATATTTATAAAAGCCGTTTTATCATATAAAAAGTCCATATATTTGCATAAATTCATGGATAAGACATACTCCCTCCGTCCCAATTTGATTTGCAAAATTTCCTTTTTTGGTTGTCCCAAAATGGTTTTCCACTTTCTATTTTAGGTATGTAAATAAGAATAAAGTGACAAATTTATCCTACTTTTACTTTTTTTCCATTAACTTAAAGGCATCTACTTTTAGAAAGATGGGCAAAAGTGTAAAAAACAAGCATCATTTATGGTCATTTCTTAATCCTTGTGCCGGTCAAAGTTTGCAATTCAATTCGAGACGGAGGGAGTAGGTATGTTTGACACAACTAGATGAAAAGATACTTTTATAATCTTTTTATTAACTGTTAGCTTTTACTAACTAAATTTTTTTTTAAAGTGAAAGGTGGTATTTGTTTGATAAAAAAGTAGACTGTCTAATTTAGTTCTGTTTGGTATACTAATTAATACTAAAAGCTACAAACGTTTCTCAGATGGTACTTAATGAAGCATCTCAGAAAAGATATTTTATTTCTTTTTAAAAAGCTCTTAAAAATTGCAATGCCAAACATATAACCAGAAGCTTTTAGAGACTTATTAAATAGTACAAAAGCTAGAATGTGAAGAGACTTATGACTACCAAACATGTACATAAACTTTTTAAAAAGTCTAGACTTTTAAATTCGGACGGTCGCCGCCATTCGTCGGAATTTCCCCCCAAATCGATGCCAATTTATCAGACCAAAGCAAGTCATTTCTGACTAGAAAATTTCAGACACTTATCAGACCAATTCACTTCTAGGCTAGTCTGATAGATGTCTGATAGACCAAGGATGTTTTTACTATGACTGTTTTCAGTCTCAGACTAGACCAGAACAAACCAGACCAGACCAGATTTAAACAGACTCAGACCAGACCTGAATTTCATAGTTATAAATTCACAAAGACCAGACCTATACTAGACCAGTTCAGACCAGACTTAAACAGACCAGACCAGATCAGACCAGACCAGCAAATTATAGTCCGAGTAAAAACATCCCGAACCACTGGTCTGATAGACGTCTGAAATGACCGGTGAATGACCAAATCTATTAGACCAATTCAGACCAATCAAATCAGACAAGTCAAGACGAAATCAGAAAACTTTAATCCAAATAAAAACATCTTACATATTTGATTCGAAATAGGGGTTTTGAGTTCGATTGGACAAGAGTGAAGAGTTTTTCAACTATTAAAAACCCGTTTTCCATTGGGTTCAAGGGCACCGGGACCTTGGATCTTGGGGTGCCCCTTGGGGTGCTAGGAATATTACTAATGGTGGATGTGAATGATATATTGCAACATTAATTTGTGTCCTTGGTAGGCATGGACCTGGGTCGGTCTGGACCAGGTTCTGAGTCGAGACCACTCGATCCTAATCAATTCTTTATGCTACCCGTGAGCGACCCGCTATTTTCCGGATCTAGACAGATTCCGAGTATCCGGTCGGTTCGGTCCCTGTCCCGTACCAGTTAATATTTTTTACCCGGTTCGAAGTTTTAAAAAAAAATCGGCTGGTCCTAGGCCCGAAATAAGAAAAACGGACTCAATCCGCCCGCAAACAATGTTGGGCCCGGATTCGGACCTGCCAGACTGCCAGACTGAGTCCACCCAACTAGAAGTAGTGCTGGACCTTGATCAATTTCCATTCCATCTTTAAAGCATGCCTTGTCAATAATCAGATTCAAAAAATGAATTTTTAATGAAGATTAAGAAAATGACACGATAATATTTTCCAATCTCGTAGGACTAAAAACATTTGTATATTCTAAAATAAGACTATCATAGTTTTATTCTCTAAATATGAGTAATTAATGTCATGTTTTGTAGTACCAGACTTTACACATGACAATATTTTTCAAGTTTGACAATAATTACTCTTATTTACATATGAGTCATATTTTGAAATTCTCAAATATTTTTTATTCCTATTTGGAGCTTTTTATGCTTTCTAACTTTCAATAAAGTACTTGGAGAAGTAATAAATCACGACGATTCTTTAAAAACAGGAAGCTATAAAGGAGCCTTTTCAGGCCTAATACGTAGGGATGGATCGGGGCCGGACGGGCTTTTTTTTGAGTTTAGTCCCGGAACCGGCCCGGATAGCTATCGGGTCCGGGTCGGGACGGGACTGGTATGGGCTATTTTTTTTTATGTTGTTTACAAATTGATTCAAGAATTGCCAAATATAAAACAGTTTAAGCATATTCATTTGAAATACGAAGTACAACTGAGAATTCAGAAAAAATTTAAAACATGAAATACATTTTCTAATAAATAATAATCAATCGGAATCTCCGCCATCTTTGATTGTTTCCTCCATAAAGTGACGGATGGGGGCGATGCTCACTTCTTGAGTTCTACGTTGGGCCTTCAACCAATCGTGGAAGCAAACAAGCGTCTCAAGAGAGTTTGCGCTCAATCTCGTTCTATAATCCGTTAGCACGTTGCCGGTCGCACTAAATTCTTGTACCCCACCCCCACCCCCAAACCCCCAGGATCCCCTCCCCTCTCCAAGCCTCCAACGGCTATAGAGCCGTTTGAGACTTTTCCCAACGACTAGGAGGCTGCAAATTAATTAAAAAAAATAAAAAATAGCCGTTATAGATCCGGACCGGTCGGGCCAGTCCTTGTTTTTGCAGACACGGAGCCCGCCTTTCAGCCCCCCGGTTCGGGCCTAGTGGACCGGGCCCGGACCCGGTTGGCGGGCCGGGTCGGTACTAAACAGTACCGGGCCAGGCCGGGTCACAGACCGGTCTACCCGGAACCTGTTCACCCCTACTTATACGAAGGAACAATAATCAATATGGTCCAAATTTGAAAACCGATTCCCGTTTGAAATAGAAGTATGTTTAAGAACCAGGTGCACTGTGATTTCAAGTTGAGTTCTCAATGAAGTTCATGAGTTCAAAATTCAAATATGCGTGTTTCAAATTCATCTGGTTAAAGATGTTTTTAATTGGATTCTAACTTTTTTGTTTGATCTGATCTGATAGATGTCTATGTATGTTTTATAATTGTTAAAGACTGATTTGCTTGTTTAAGTCCAGTGTAGTCTCTTCCGGTTTAATTTGATTTGAGATTGAAACTAATTCAATTAAAAACATGTTTAAAGCACATTCACTAACCTTATACTCGATTAGATTTGTGTGTATATTGATTCTACCGTTTAAATGTGTAGTCTCTAAAACATCCTCTAAAATTAAAGAAGATGTGTTTCAATGTGTAGAGTTTTTTTCTATAAACTTTGATTTGGATTCTCTAAAATTGCAAACATGAATTCTATCTCCCCCCTCCCACCATATTATTTTGTTTGACATGTACATGTTGCGGAATCCTCCATTCTTTGATGATGCATAATTTGAACAATGTAAATAATACTGAGTATCAATTACTATCTCCGTCCCGGTGGACTTTGCCAAGTGCAATGTAGGTGAGGAGTAAGAATAGTAAAACTTGTGTGATTAATATTTATCTAGATGAGAGAGAAATGTGTAGAACCACAAATTAGTTGCTTTAATAAGAAAGTGACAAGGTTTTTGAAACAACCAAAAAAGAAAAGTTGTCAAAATCCAATGGGACGGAGGGAGTATATAATTGGTACATACAATTATACAAACAACCAGCATTGGTTATGCATTATTATTTATTTATGAGTAAAGGTTGATATGGAGTATTATTTAAATTGTTTTCTCCTTAGTATTTATAAATTCTTATCTTAATTTTTTATTTAAAGAAAAAATTGAAAATAATAATCCTAACTATTACCGATCCGCCGTTAATAATTTGATTATTCCATAACAATTGTATACAAAAATCAATACTACGTGCGTTGGTTGGGAATTAATTTAGAAAGCTTTTGACTTGAGTATGGCAAACATTGAAGTTTTTTCTATCATAGTTATTCATGAGCATGTGAAGTACTGGCTTTTCATTTGAGGGACAGGTTTACTCAACAGAACAGCCTTTACTCGTATAAAATTCTTCAAACTTCAACAATCACTGCATGCCGATAACTGATCTATTACGTAGTACTTCATAACTACTCTATCTATTCACAGATACAAGAAATATAAAAACCAAAAACAAAAGCAAGCTTAATACGAATATAAGCTCGCTAATACCATAAATATACAAGGGAAAGTCTATCTCAGCCTCACCTAATCACCTTACTGCTGATGACTTTAGCAATGATGAAGGCAGCGGCTGCTTCTGTGTCCGATTACTAGAAGGGCGTTGAGCCTCAGGCCTAGAGCTTCGGGAAGAAGCCTTAGGAGCTTGAAGCTCCTCGAGTGCAGCCAAAACCTCGGACATGGTTGGCCTGAGTTTAGGCTCCAGGCTTAAGCACTGCATGGCAAGGCTGGCAGCAGTGTATGCTGCTTTCAGAGGGTACTGCCCCTCTAGTTTTGTGTCCATCATACGAAATACTTTCCTCTTGTCTCCCAAATATGGTTGTGCCCAGTCCACGAGGTTTTGCTCCACTCCAACCTTCGTCTTATCAACTGCACTGCGCCCAGACAGCAGTTCAAGCAAAACAACTCCAAAGCTGTATACATCACTCTTTGAACTTAGCCTGCCTGTTGATTCGAAAGCGCATTAGTCATGGTGACATGGTCATAGAAAGAACTTTGATACATAACGGTATGGTTTCAGGATGACAGCATTTCGCTCCTGTTTAGGGGAAGGAAAGCATAGCACTCCTATTTAGGGAAAACATAGAAAACTTCACTCCTGTTTAGGGAAAACATAGGAAATTTTGCTCCTATTTTGGGAAAACAGAGAAAAATCTATTCCTATTTAGCGAAAACACTCGCGTATTACACGTATAGAAATCCCTCCAAGGGAGAATTATTCTGAGTATAAGTGTCCACCGGTGTCAAAGAAACCAGTGCGGGCAAAACTGAAGCGGATAATATCAACCAAATAAATATGTACTAGAGTTAAGGTGAAATTTAAGGACTTTACATGTGAATACACAAGCTGACAAAAGTGGTGTAGTAATGGGATAGAAAAAGAAGAGCTAACCTGTTGCTACATACTCTGGGGCAGCATAACCATGTGTGCCCACTACTTGAGTCGATACATGAGTGCGACCGCCAGTAGGACCTGCCTTTGCCAAACCGAAATCAGACAACTTTGCATTGAAATCCTGCATTTTAAAGAACAAAAAGACATTCTAATTATACTCTAGTGAAGACAAATTTTACATTTCAACGAAGTACTAAGTTTGAATAGGAGGGATCTCAATTCGAGAAACAACATACCACGTCTAAGAGAATATTTGAAGCTTTAAAATCCCTATATATAACTTGCTCTTTAGCATCATGCAGGAAAGCAAGGCCTCTAGCTGCGCCAATAGCAACTTTGATCCTTGTAGCCCAATCAAGGGGTTGTGGTCCCCCTGAAATCCAAATATTTCAAAGTCTTTAATATATATATATATATATATATATATATATATATATATATATATATATATACAGTTCATTATTTTAATGGATTGGACACTTTTTTATTCTTACTCGAATAGATTGCTAAGTTATGTTAATTAGCAGAGTTTGATAACATATTAAGATTGTGTGCACAATGGATGGAAAATTGCCAACATACTTCTGAATAGATGATTTTCCAAGCTGCCTTTGGGCAAGAACTCATACACCAGTAGTCGATGGTCGCCTTGATAGCAATAACCGATAAGCTTCACCAGGTTCGGATGGTGAAGTTGCCCGAGATAATTAACTTCAGTCTGCAATGCAGTTGTTAGTAAGGTAATAACAGTGGGCAAAGAAAATAAAATGTTGTTTACTAACTCACTGAATTATACGGAGTATATATTAGAAGAAAAAGAAGCATACCAGCCACTCCTTGTGACCTTGAAAACCTTCTGGCTTTAATCTCTTCACAGCAACAACCATGCCGAAACCAGGTTTCACAGCGGTAAGGGTATGTTCATCAATCCATCCTTTGAACACGTAACCAAATCCTCCCTCTCCAAGAAGACTGTCGGGTCTGAAATTTCTAGTTGCATTCTTCAATTCATTGAATTGGAAGGATTTAACCGTGGGTGAGAACAATATTTCGTTTTCAGAACGTGGGGCCAGTATGATATTATCAATCTTGCGGCTTTGCCTCCCATTTGGTGGAATACTAATGGAGGACACACTGGAGGAGTTGCTTGTTTTATTGGTAGCAATTCTTGCGGGTTCAGAAGCTGCAAGAAAAATATATAAAGAAAAACATTAGAAGGACTGAAAAAAATCTCATGTATCCAAAACAGGTTATGGAAACATATATAGATTAATGCATGCTGACACCCATTGCTTCAAGGAGTGGGTACTGGGTAGACAAAGTTAGTTATTTGTGTTTCCTAAAGAATGCATGTCAATAGCATGCCAAAACATAATTAAAGTAGTTTTAGTAAATTATCATTAACATTTGACATTTCATCTTAAAAATGTTATAGATATGAATGATAGGATGAGATGTTTATGCTCTTATATGTTGGTCTAGAAAAATCATTGATTTAGTCTCGTAACTTAAGTCTTACCCAGTTTTTGTCCTATAACTTTATTTGCAGATCATTTCCAATAATTAAATAGATTAACCATATTAAGACTTTCCTATGAAGGTCTGAATGTCTGATACAGCCCGCTGGAAATGTCCTGTCAGCATCACGTGTTTGAGTAATGGTGACCTCAAGTGGCACTGATATGGACTTTTGAAACGGGTTATAGGTTATAACAAACTCCTATGGAAAGTTGCTTACAATATATGATATGCAAATGAGTATGTAATAGAAAAACAATAGACATAGAAAAACATAAGCAAATAAGCAAATCCCTCTATGTTGGTTTCTATTTTTAGTTTTTCTTAGATTCAAGTGGCTTAACAAACCCTCTATGGCATCGCATGATGGTAATAACTAACCTTAGTCTGTTTCCTCATTTTTTATCCTTACCCTGTCAAATTAGCGTAAAAAGTGCTATGTTGATTTTTTTAGAGTTTTCTAATGTGGGATTGTGATGTAACTTAACAATTACGGAGTATTTATAGATGCATTTTTGTGATAAACTTTCTAAATATGTGTATGCAAAAGGAGTACAGGGGTGTTTCTAACTTCTTTCCCATCGCCAGTATAAAAAACTAAAAACTATTAGCCCTGTTTGATAGATTTAGATTATAAGCTGATTGCCTTATGCCATCAACTACATAAGTTAATACTACCTCCGTCCCGCTATGATGGTCCCATTTTACCTTATCAGTCTGTCCCACTAAGATTGTCCCATACCAAATTTTGTAAAGTTTGTGTTGCTCTAAATCATTCTTACTTTAATCTTTACTTTATCAATTCAATATCAAACACATAAACCATTTTTTATTAATTTACGTGTCACTCCCTCTTGTCCCATTGTTAGCGGGACGGAGAGGGAGTATTTGATAGAAAATCAGATCAATCTTTTAGATGATAAGTCTTGAAATACAAATAATTATTGGTGTACCAAAAGGGCACCTGCATATCCAACTAACTGCTCTTTACTAAAACAGAAATAGAACCATGGCTGAATAACAGACGTCACAATACAAGATTCAAATAGTTCCATCAAAAAATTCTGAGAACATTTGGGATAAAATATTTCAGTTATGTCTATAAAAAGAAGTGTAGCAAAAGAATATTACAGTTTTACATCAAAAGAATCAGCTTATTTTAGAAAACTGCAGTTTGGTGCTTTTCCAGAGAATCACTTCAAGTGCTTAAATGAGAAAGCTCAAATAGGCACCAGAAATTTCTACAATTCCACTCATAGTTTATAAAAATTTGAATAGATACACTCTAAAAAACTAGGAAGGAAGAGGCTCCTCCTGGGCAGATCCGAAAATTGGAGTTGGATTGTGTGGGAAGAGCGATTATACTTGACTTTAAGTAGTAAGGCTTTTACCCCACCATAGATCCCCTCCTTAATTATCTCCACTGGCACTACCTACTCATATGAAAAAGCATTCAGGCTTTTCGCCAAAACCATAAATACCCAGGAACCAAAATGATAACCAGGCCCTTCAGAATAGCACCACATGCTCAAACACTTGAACTTTAAGTCAATCAAGATCTGAACTTTATAAAATAAGCACCAGAAAAAGAAGAAAAGTCGAACCATAGAACAAGGAGACTAATGCCAGTAATAAGTTTAGATCCATACAGACCATTTTAAAATGATAATAAAAAGAAATTAAGAGATAAAAGAGAGTGAGACAAAATACAAATAAAAGAACAGAGAAATATACCAACCAGAGAGGGTATTGGAGCTCAAAGAGGCATCAACTTTAGCTGAAGTACGCACGCAGTTGCCCATTATAGCACAGCAGCCAAGAAAATTAAATCTTCAAAAACTCAAAAGTCTTTGCTAAAAAGAGAAAATGCAAAGATGGAAATCAAGAATGGAAGATTTCGTGTGATATTCAGTAGTGGGTGGTATATTCTTTTGTAATGAGCTGATATGAGCCAAAAGTATCTTGAAAAATTCTAAAGTACACATTTTTTGTTGTATACACTTTTTACACATGTTTGTGTAAGGTTTTTTTTATGTCTGTACACACATAATGTATTTTTAAAATATGTTATGTCTGTACAGACATAAAAAAAACCTTACACAGACATGTGTAAAAAGTGTGTACACCGTGCGTACCCCAAGTCCAACTCTCCTCTCGTCTACGCGTTCACATTTGACTTGCTTCTTCCTTTCCTATTCTGGTTGAAAAATTTCTTTTGTTAAGGGGCCCAGAAAGTGACAAAATGCTGGCCTTGGCCAAAAGGATGTGATCAATTTTTTATTTTTTCCCAATGGCCATGTTCACAGAATCATATCATCGCCCCCGCCTTTCTGACAAGTCAAACAAGGCATACTAGACCGGTAATGGTTGATGTAGATGGATATGTGACATCTAGAACAATATTGAGGCCCTACGCAACCAATTAATACTCCCTCTGTTCCTATTATATCTTCCAACTTTCCTTTATCATTCGTTCCAATTAAACTTTCACTTTCCCCTTTTGGTAAAGAATTTGTGGTTCACAACATTTCTTACACATTTATCCCTCCTCTGCACAACTCTCCACCACACAATACCTACTTTTCATAAATTGTGTGCCCATGAGAAATGGAAGATAAAATGGGAACTTTCATCCCACAAAACTTGATCAAAGTTGATTTACACGTAGATTTATAAAGTAAAAACTGTGTAGTTTAAATTTGTTCAGAAGAGAGAAAAAAAAGTTTAGTCATATAGTAGTATTTCTTACTTTAGATGGAAATGACAGTTTTTTGGGACGATCAAAAAAGAAAATTTGGTCAAGTTTTATGGGATACTACTCATTCTTTACTCAGGTCTCACTAACATTAGATAATGAGAAAATAGTGTAATTATTAAGAAAAATGAGTTTATGTTGTTGATATTGAATTGATATAACAATAAAGTAAGTATGATTTAGAGCCATACAAATTTTATTAAATTTAATACTTCCTCCGTTCTTAAATAAATGCAACGGTCAACATTTCACACTTGCCCAGACACAACTTTGACCATTAATATACTCCCTCCGGTCCCAAATGAAATTCACACTTTGACTTCACACAAATTAAGGAAATAAATTTGACTTTACAGTAGAGTACACTGTTGTGACACTGTTTGACACTGTTTGGCATTGTTTGGCACTGTTTTGATGTAGATAATTTGCCAAATAAGGAAGGAAGAAGAAGTGTGAAGTTTATTTTGGACCTACCCAAAAAGGAAAGTGTGAATTTCATTTGGGACCGGAGAGAGTAATGATTTTGTATTAGTAAAAAAATTAAAAAAATCAGATTATGAAAATTTACAATGAGACAAGTTTAACAATATTTTTTTCATAAAATAATATTATTACATTAATAAATAAAACGTAGTCAAAGTAGAACATGTGAATAGTGTAAAAGTCAAAGTGTTGCATTTATTTAAGAACGGAGGTAGTATGTGACAATTTAGTGGACATACTGAAAGGAAAGATGAGACAATCTTAATGTGATGGCAGGAGTATAACTTCAACATATTTTTTAGTAAAATATATAAAAACTACTCGGTATAATATGAAACAAATAGGAATGGTTTAGCCAGATTGAAATATGCCAAACATTTTTTTTCCTTACGATCATTTACACATGATCATTTTTAACATATAAATATGTAACCGTTTTACAAATTTGGGGAGGATCGGGGACTAAAAAAAGGACAACTTAATTACGCCCGAATAGAAGTAAAGTACAATCCAAAATGCACCATATGTCATTGATGCAAAAAAAATCATTATTTGAATGTAAATAGTAAAAGTGTGAAAAACACATGCAGATTCTAATAGCATGTTCTTCTCTCTTTTTGATAAACAAATTTGGTAAGAAGACTACTAAAATCAAGACTCACTAATATTTTTTAATTAAAGTAATATAGTTAATCAAACTAATATATGAGATTTTTCTTAAATATTACTGAATTATAATTTATTGAAAAAATAATACTCTCTTTGTTCCATTCAAAGGTTCTCACTTTCCTTATTGGGACATCACAACTAAAGGTTTACATTTTCTATTTTATGAAACAATTAACATTCTTAAATGACAATTTAATCATAAAATACTAAAAGAATACATTTACAACATCACATTTTTCATCAATAACCCATTATATTATACTCATCAAACCTATTTCTCAAAAAATACTCGAATTAACATATTCAATTATTGTCTAAATAATCCTGTCATTGTGTAATGAGAAACTTTGGAAGGGGCGAAGATAGTACTATAGTCACTATGCATATGCATTATAGTTAACACAATTATCGTCACAATCATGGTCACTAAAGTTATTAATAGTTACTAAAGCATTTTTATATGATAATAGTTACTAAAGTATTAAAAATCATATTTTGTTCACTCTTATTTAGGTCATATATATTGTTATTGTTTTTAATATATCACATCGGATATGCTTAATCTTGATAATTTATTTTGTTCATCAATGTAACTTTAGTTCGAAACTATTTTTTAAGTATTCAATTAATTAAATGAAGAATTAAATGTATATAGTATTATTGTTTTTTTAAATGGAGGCCTACAAAATTTGGAGGCCCTAGACAAATGTGTATGCTACCTCCCCCCGTGGCTGGCCCTGAACAAAAACAAACCACATTTTAGTTGGTTCTTTAGAAATTACAATGAATAGGAGTAAAAACGTGTTGAAATTTCAAAATACAACCTTCATTTTTTATTCCCTAAATAAGAGTAATTTTTGCCATGTTTGGAAAAAACTTGATAAAAATCGCCATGTTTAAAGTCTGATAATGTCAAACTTCGCATAAATTACTCCTATTTACGAAATAAAAACATGACAGTCCTATTTTGGAACTTCAAAACTTTTTTTATGTACTCCTATTTAGGGAATTTTTCCGGAAAACAAATATACAAAACTATATTGACATTGAAAGTTTTTACAGAGGGGAAAAAGTTAAATCCATTTTGTAATATTTGCTTACAAAGAATACAATTACTATGGAGAGTAGGGTGGTAAATAAATTAAGTATTTTGTATCTCATTTGTGATTCAAATTGGTATATCACTATTGAATACGAAAAAATCACATAAAAGTAAAAATACGAATAATAATTTCGATCATACATTTACTAAATACAAATATGAATATTGATATATTTGATTCAAAATTTACTCAAATATATTCGAATGACAACAACAACACCAATGATGATGATGATGATGATGATGACAGTAGTGGTGTTGAGGGTGGTAGCAGTAGTGGTAGTGGGGGTGATGAAGTAGTGGTAGTGGTGGTTTTGATTGTGGTGGTCGTGATCGTTGCCGTGCTAGTGGTAGAGGTCATCATAGTGGTAGTGGTAGTGACAGTAATAGTAGATGTAGCAGTACGCAGTGACAACAACAGTAGTAGTAGCCGTAGCAGTGACAACAACAGTAGTAGTAGCAGTAATAGTAGATGTAGTAGTGGTAGTAGTCGTGTTAGTAGCAGTAGTAGATGTAGTAGTCGCAGTGATTGTGGTAGTGACAATGGTAGTTGGTGTGTAGCATATAATGGGCACACAACTATTTTTTTACCCAAGGAAGTAGGGTGTCGAACCACAGAGAAGCGGGAAATAAAATAATTAAGCACAAACTAAGGATTAAAGTTGGGAGTGCGTTTCTTTTGATTTTTGTTTGCTTGGAAAAGTAATTAAATAAAAGTGATTGAGAGAAGAGATTTTTATCAACACAAAGTTCAACCAATAGCAAGTAGGGGTAGAAATTGGCAACTAATTGTTCAATGCTCATTTGTAAGACATAATTGCAAATTTTATTCTTAGATAGATTGTGAGAAGTTGTAGATAAATATTTTAGGACCCAACACAAGTCACCTAAAATAAGTAACTAGTCAACATTTCCCAGTGATGGCCAAAACGAGACTAGTTGTTTAAGTGCAACGACAACCTTAATTATTAACTATATTATTTACCCAACCCCGTGGTGTAAATAATATAATTAAATAATTAAATTCTCCCGTAAAACTTCAATCCGGGACAAGGTAAAAGAAGTTTAACGGTGTGTTCAGAAAGTGTTCATTTGTGTATTTAACAAACAATATGTTTATGATTGAGTACTCAAAATATATATCATAAACACAACATAATTAATTTGCTGGACACAACAATCTAAATAGAACAAACTTAACAATTAAAATCAATATAAATTAAAACATTATAAGAACAATTAATTAACCAATTTCTAGCCCCAAATTTATTTAGCTATACATGTTGGGAAACATAGAAATAGATGAATCCATGATTAAAGTACAAGATTTAATGAGATAAGGAAGATCAAACTTGTGATAGATGACAATCCTTGGAGCTTTGATGCTAATCTTGACTTAATCTTGGATGAGAAAGTGATTAGTTATGGTTGAAGATGTGTTGATGATTTGGGGTTGAGAAATGAAGAGAGAAGGAGGAGGAAATGTTTCTGGGATGTTTAGAGAGAGGTTGGTCCGAGCTTATGTGTGGAGGAAGATGGATTAAGGCAATATAATGATAAGGTGATTAATCATTAATTGCTGGAATTTACGGAACAGATGAGTTTATGTACAACAAAGCGCATTGAAGTTCCAACGGTGGTAGGTAGTTCAACGGATAAGCGTTTCAGGGGAAAACTCGGCGATCGTGGGATTGATTCTCAGCTTCAACATTTTGTTCTTTTCTTTGCCGTGTTCAGAAGGAATATAATAATTGCCAGCTAGATATGTACAACATTGATCACTTAGCACACTGGTTGTAATAGGCATTCTTTTACCCTTTGTTCATGGATCGATTCCCAGCTCCACCATTTTTAATTTTGCTTCTTTTCTTCAATTTACTCCTTATTTGTTTTGAAGGAAAATCCACTTTTATTGACCTCCAACTTGAACTTTTATTTTCTTCTTTTGTTCACACTCTAATGTATCCAAATAGCATCAAATGTACCTGAAAATACAAAATACCCGTGTAGGACTGCACAAGTACAAACTAACGACAAATGATAAAAATATGTACAAAAGTAGAACTTTAATAACTAAAATTAACAACAAACTAAGCCTAAAAAGTGTATAAAATATAAGTACATCAGTAGTCGAAATGATAGAGGTAGTGGAGTGGCAGTACCAGTAGTAATGCCAATAGCAACAGTAGTAGCAGTAGTAGCAGCAGCACGACTACCAATAGCAATTGTAGCAACATCAGTACAAACAGAAGTAGCAACAACAACAGAAGCAACAATAGTAACAATAGCAATGTAGTAGCAACAGCTAGTAACAGTAATAGTAGCACTAGCAGTAGGAGTAGAAGCAGGAGTAGTAGTAATGATTAGCCGTAGCAACCGTAGGAGTAGCAATAGTGGTAGTAGATGTAGGAGTAGCAACAGTAGTAGCAGTAACAGTACCATTAGCAACATGAGTAGACCTATCCGCAGTTTCAGGTAAATTGGAACCAAAACAAGAAGCGCTAGTTTTTGAACCGGAATCGGAACCGGAATCGGAACCAGAATGACAAAGTACTTCCGGTTTGGAATCAGGGGTTTACTAGTCCAGTTCGATTCTTCCAAATATTGAAACCGGGCGATTCCGGTTTGGAACCTCTTTTTACATTAAATATTTAATAATAATACTGATTTTTGCAAATAAAATACTAGTACTAATAAGAATAATCACAATAGTATTAATTGTACTAATAATAGAAATAAGAATTATAATAGTTACTAGTTACTACTTCATTTTATACGTACTTATTACTAGTTAAAATACTTTTAATTAAAATTATTGGTAACAAGTATTCATAAATTATTTTGAAATATCTAGCTTGTAGATTTTTACAACCTAATTTATAACTACTTAGGAACTTAGCTATTCTTTAGAAAAAATAATTGGCTATTAACTATCTTATTATTGTACTTCATTATAACAATGGTAGATATTAGCTCTCCTAAAAAAATTTAGGGAACCCTTTTATTAATTTATTTTAAAAAAGATCAATCAAAGCTTAATTATCAAGAAATACAAATAAAAATTGAAACCGGAAAACCGAACCGGAGCCGCCGGTTTTGTAATCGGTATTATGCGATTCCTGTTCCGGTTCCCCAGAATTTTAAATCCCGAACCGGCGATTTGGTTCCGATTCCAGCTCAGTTCTGAACCACGAACATCCCTAAGCAAGAGTAGCAGCGGCAGTAGCAGTAGTAGCATCGGTTGTAGCAATAGTAGTAACAATAAAGCAATAGTAGTACCGTTATAAACTTATAATTACAGTAATGGTAGTGATATCGGTAGTGGAGTGGCAGTAACCGTAGTATAACTATAGCACTATATAGTAGCAGCAACTAGGGGAGAGCAAACCCGACCCTACCCGATTGACCCGATCGGATATATCTGGTTGTTTTGTTGGGGTCGGAAAACCCGACTCGAAATACCCAAACCCGATCCGATTCTTGCAACCCGAGACTTAAGCGGGTAGCGGGTAGGGTTATCAATTATGCTACCCGACCCGCCCGAAAAACCGAACTAGCGTAGTATATATACTACTTTGAATTATTATTCATGTTCAAATATCTCAATTATTGTATGCCAATTACCATATTATGCATGTTCAAATATTCCAATTACCGTATTTGTACAACTATAACTTTGAATGTTATATTGTTATGACTTTGAATGATATTTTGACCAATTATCATTTTATTTATCACAATATCAAATATGTCAATCACCATATATTATTATTTTACACACTCAAATATGTCGATTACCGTATTTATACAACTATTACTTTGAATGTTATTATAACTTTGAATGATATTTTTACCAATTTCCATTTTATTTATCACAATTTCAACAATAATAAATTAAAATCCGAATGGACTCGAAAACCGAATCAACCCGACCGGAACCCAAACTTCTTCAACCCGAAAAACCCAATAAAATTTTTGATAGGGTAGGGTTTGAAATTATCAATCCGATACCCGAACGGGTTCACCTTTTTATAACCCGACCCGCCCAAACCCGACCCGTGCTCTGGCCTAGAAGCAACAACAGTAATAGTAGCTGCGGGTGGGCGCGGTCCGGTCCGGTCCAATATTTTACCGAACCCGTACTTGGACCGTTACTATTGAAACAGTTCGGTTCGATTCGGTCTTAGACCTAAACCCGTTTGGTTCGGTTCCATTTTTAAACGGTCCGGTACCATGTCATACCAATACCAAACAATGCAACTTTTTTCGACAAATTAAAACTTAATCATCATCCAAAAATCCACACAATTATCAATTTTCATATTACAAAGTTAATGAATTTCATATAAACTATAATAGTACAAAACATAAATAACAAAATGTTCACGACCACCACTCTCTAAGCACCATTGGCTTCTCCAGACCTTAACGGATGATATCCAAAACTTCACTTCCCACTAAAACACACATAATCAATGGTTTTTACCCCAATAAAAGCATTGATTTCATTTGCCACTTCATTTAAGTATATTTTGGGAAAGATGGTTTGAGTATATTTTTTTAGATGGGCTAAAGTGCTAAATATGTTAAATGTAAACCTATAGTCAAACAATAAAACAAATTGGGCTAGGTTTCACCACTATGAAGTCTGCCTTAGTGTTCCTGCACGCAGCTTGCAGTGAACTAGCAATTAGCAAAGTGCAAATGAATAATCAAAGTAATGATAACATGGTATACATGTATATATAATTATAAAGTTATATAAATTAATAAAATTATAATTCAGTCTGGTTCGGTCAGGTACCGGTTCTCATTTTATGAGAACCGGTCATGGCAATATGGCATGGTTTGGAACCGGATCGGGACAATTTTTTGAGAACCGTTTGAAAATCCATTTTCCGGTCCGGAACCATACCGATCCGGTTCGGTACCATGCCGGTTCGGTCATTTTGCCCACCCCTAATAGTAGCAGTACTAGTAACAGTAGCAATGCCGATAGCAGCAGTTGCAGTAGTAGTAACAGTTGTAGCAGTAGCATTAAGAGCAGAAGCAGCAACACCAACACTAGCAGAAGCAGTAGTAGCAACAACAGTAGAAGTAGTTTTAGAAGCGGCAACGACAACAGTAGGGGTAGTTGCAACGGCGGCGACAATAGCAACATCAGTAGTAGATATAATTGTAGTAGTAGTAACAGCAGCAACGCTAGTAGCAGTAGTTGTATTGACAATAGTAATTGTAATTGTACTAGTGGTAGTGGCGACGGCGACGGAAGAGGTAGTCGCAGGTGTGATAGGAGCAACAACGACAGTGGTAGGAGAGTTGGGAGCGATGGGAGCAGTAGCAATAGCAGTAGATTAGCAGGAACAAGAACAATAGCAGGAGCAATATGAGGTGGAGCAGCAATAGTAAGAGCAACAACAATTGTAGTAACACTAGCAGCAACAGGAGCAACAAGAGGAGGAGAAGGAGTAGGAGCAACGTAACAATAGTACTAGTAGCAACGTAAGAAGCAATTGTGGCATTAGTACCAGGAGTACGAGTACTCATAGAGTTATAGTAGTAGTAGTAGTAGCAGCAACAACAACAGTAGCAGCAGGATTAGGAGCCCGTTTGGTGATCCCTTTTTTCGGCTTATCAGACATATCAACCAACCTTTTCACCAAACACGTAACTTTTGATTTCGCGCGCTGAATTTTGTAATAAGCAGAAAAAAAGGGTTGAAGTTACTTTATTGGTTGTATTGGATGAAGTTACTGTAGAGGGTCATTTTAGCTATTTTTCATATAATTTTTTATTTAATTTACTAATAAAAATATTTAAATTTTTTTTTTCATGAATCAACAGAATCAACCAATACAGTCACTTCAGTCAGAACTTCATAAATTTAAACAGAATCAACCAATTCAACCAATTTTAATGTTACCAGACGAGCTCTAGAAGCAGTAGTAGAAGTAGCGGTAGTAATAGCAGCAGTAAAAGTAGTGATAGTAGCGGTACGAGTAGCAGTAGAAGAAACGGTAGTAACAATAGTAGTATTAAAACTCACAAGTTATAATAATATTGACCCATGACCCATCTTCCATCTACCATTTTAAAGGAGAGGGTCATGAGCGAAGCTACGACGGTGCCGACTGTGCCACCTGACAAGGGAGTGTGGGCTAGGAAATCATTTGCAGAAGTTCTTGTGGGTGGATCTGATACCACAATGTTTCAAAGGCTTACCTGCGGTTACTTTTCCAGAGGCCAAAATTCAGGATTTAGGCATTTAGCTGCTCGACACAACTACACAAGATTACTTTATCTATTATACGTCATTCCTTTGAACTGATTGGTTTTAAAGGAAAATTCCATCTTGGATTATTGGATCCTAAGCATATTTTAATTCGATTTGATTCAGAACTATCTCCGATGTTGGAATAGGCAATCATGGTCTATCCGTGGCAGTTTAATGAGGATTACTATATGGACACCGGAATTCCGACGTAATGTGGAATCCCCCCTTGTCCCGGTCTGAATTGCGCTTGAAGGGTTACCCATCCACGTTCATGACAAACGAGCATATTTTGATATAGCAGGCTTAATTGGCAAACCCTTAAAAGTTGAAGCTGCAACATCAAATCTTTCAAGGCCTTCACTTGCCCCTATTTGTGTTGAGTTGGATCTAACTCAAGAGAATCCTCAAAAGGTATGGTTGCAGTGTGGGTCTCATGGTTTTGTTCAACACATTATTTACGAGGATAAGACAGAGTACTGTAAATCAAACCTATATTTAGGACATTCCAGCCATACATGTCCTAAACTTATCAAGTCTCAACCATCAGCTTCTAAAAGTGAGCCTAAAAGTGTTGCTGTGAAAGAACCTAATACTATTAAGCATCTCGAGACTAATAAAGAGAAATGGGGTGTGAAACATAACCCACATACTCTGCTAATTACAAATGGGGACAAACCGACAAAGGGAAAGAGGTGTTAGAAGATGCTAGTTATAAAATTACAGAGTTAGATCATGGGCAGCCTTCTACATCCAAAGCTGGAGAAGAATATGTTGAGATCCAGGATGGTACAGATACAGAGGAAGTCTACCATGATCCTGAGCCAGAACCTGCAAAACAAAACAATCAAAATGCAAGAAGTTGGGTGGCTAAGGAATTGGCTGATATGCCACTTAGTCTAAGCAGAAAAGAAGGCATTTTTGTGGATGACGCACATATACAATTCCTACATGAAGAATTAGAACATGATCCAGAATTGTTAGCTAAAGACTATTACCCTGATGGGGGGAAGCCCAGGCAGCGGGAAGACCTTGAACCTGAAAACTTGCACTTCCTGAAATACTAAAAAAGGTTGAATATGTGGTTAAACAAAAGGAAAAGCAGAAAATACAGGATAATACTCAACAGGAGGAAGGGGATGAATTTATTTTGGTTACCAGAAAGAGAGGTAGGAAGAATAAGGTCCTAGATATGCCAGAGATGCCAGCCAGACCAACAAGAAGCACTGCCAGAAAATTGGCAAACTCTGAGACCCATAAGACTTCAGCCGACAGGCTCTCTCAAGCTATATCTACCCCAATTTTTAAATGAATTGCCTTTTTTGGAACATAAGGGGCCTAGAATCTTCCTCATCTAGGCTTTTTTCCCTTATTCAACAATGGAGGATTAATTTAGTAGCTGTGATCGAACCAATTGTGGATTCTACAAAAGCTGATAGCTATAAACATAAACATGGTTTGAATGCTGTTTTGTTTTCCCCTAACACTAAGATATGGAATATTTGGGACCCCAATTCTCTCATTATTCTTGATACTGTTTGGCATACTCAATTTGTTCCGATAAAAGTTAAAAAGGAGGATTTTTCATGGTGGATCACTTTTATCTATGGAAATCACTGTTATATCTCAAGAAGATATCTGTGAGAGTCTCTAAAATCTTTCTCTGATAAAAATACTGAACCACGGTTTATTGTTGGAGACTTTAATACTATAGCTGAGCACAGTGAACATAAAGGGGCTGCCTGTTGTGGACTACTTTTGGGGCCACACTTATAAACGACGCATAAATGGTCCAAAGGCCGAAGAGTCAACAATTGAAAGTGGATGAAGTTGGGAATAAGGATATAGTTTCCTAATTCTAGTTAGTTTCCTAGTTCTAGTATATTTCCTTATTCTAGTTACTTTATATGGTTGAATTGAGAAACAAGAATACTGTTTCTTAATTCTTATAAGTCCTGATTCTAGTTTTATTTCTAGTTTTATTTCTAATTCTTGTTTCCTTTCCTATTTAAAACTCTAAGCAGCCTCTCTATATAAAGGGTTTTTTGTTATGGAATAAAGTACGTTTTTGGAGAATTAATTTGTGCGTCTTGACAAGGTCGGGCGCCGATTAATTTAACAAGAATAGCTTCATTAAATTATACTGATTCTTTGTCTCTTTCCCGATTAATATCTCGAACACATCCCTGGACTAGGGCTAGCTCTCGCCTCCTTAACACTGCCATTTCTCATTTAAACATTATGGTTGAGTTCAAGGAGTGTATTGTTGCTTGTAATCTAATTGACCTCCCTTACAGTGGCCCTAAATTTACTTGGACTGAAATTAGGTCCAAAGGAAGGCATTGGAGGAGACTTGATAAGGTTTTATTCCTTTAAGCCATCCCTTCACTGCTGTCTCGGTGGCAAGGATCTTTGTTGCTGAAATTGTCAGACTTCACGGACTCCCAGAATCCATTGTCTCAGACAGAGATAAAATCTTTGTGAGTAACTTTTGGCGGGAGTTATTTCGTTTGTCAGGAACCAAACTTGCTTTTTCTTCGGCCTATCATCCTCAAACAGATGGCCAGTCAGAAATTGTCAATCGCACGGTAGAAATGTTCTTGCGTTGCCTAACTAGCGCACACCCTCGCGAGTGGGTTCGTAGGCTTCCATGGGTGGAGTATTGGTACAACACTTCTTACCACACCGCTTTGGGTGACACCCCTTTCCGATTAGTTTATGGACGAGATCCCCCCAAACTGGTGACATATACTCCTGGAACAACTAAGTTAGAGGAGGTAGAGCAGGAACTCCTGAACCGCGACAACATCATATCTGAGGCTAGACTACGATTAGCTCACGCACAGAACCGCATGAAACAATACTATGACAAAGGGCACCGCGACAATTCACACTGGTCTCCCGTCACCACAAATTACTGCCGAAATTTTATGGTCCCTCTCAAGTCACTGCAAGGATTGGTACAATGGCCTATAAGCTAGAGTTACCCACAGAGAGTCGCATACATAATGTCTTTCATGTATCTCTCCTCAAGCCACACAAAGGACCCATACCAGAAACCATGGGCTCCTTGCCACCACTGGATACTATGCCAGAGGTTTTGAGGCCATCCACAGTGCTGCGCAGTCGGCTTAATCACGAGGTAATGGAGGTGCTGGTCCAGTGGCATGAGAAGTCCATAGAAGAAGCTTCTTGGGAAACAGTGGCGTCATTTCGCACGGCTTATCCGGATTTTGAGCTTGAGGACAAGCTCTTTGCTAACGAAGGGAGTGATGTTGTGGACTCCTTTTGGGGCCACACTTATAAACGACGCATAAATGGTCCAAAGGCCGAAGAGTCAACAATTGAAAGTGGCTGAAGTTGGGAATAAGGATATAGTTTCCTAATTCTAGTTAGTTTCCTAGTTCTAGTATATTTCCTTATTCTAGTTACTTTATATGGCTGAACTGGGAAACAATAATACTGTTTCCTAATTCTTATAAGTCCTGATTCTAGTTTTGTTAGTCCCTGTTTTCTATTACAGCAAAGAATAACAGTATAACAAGAAGAAGATTAACGGTAAAGATGAACACAGATAGATCGATGTAAACCTTCATTGATATACCGTGAACTCGTACAGAGAAGTATTTGCGCTAAGGCTATTTGGATCGAGTACGAAAGTTAACGCAACCCTAAACCTGAGGCGCCTTTTTATATGCGCAGGTATAGGGTTGGCGTAAAAGGCTTTCAGCCTGATATGGGCCTGACACTTGGTCCCATATTCTTTAACCTAATAAATACACATATTGAATACAAAGGAATAATAATAAAGCTAATCTATTACAAGATAGGTGACAAACTTGATTCATAATTAAATGATCTTCAACAATCTCCCCCTTTGTGATCAAGTGCCACCTTGTTATTGCTTCTGGGCTTTGAAGTAGTGCTTCCTCATATTCAGCGCGTGCTCATATTGCCTTAGCATGTTTCTCTTGTCTAGGCGATCGTCGATGGCTTTTAGAATGATTTTCATTGTGGAATGTTCCTTTTGAATGTATGACGATGCCTCTTCAAGTTTTTGCTCTAGATGTTCCTTCAGCTTCAGCAGCTGTTCTTTGATGATCTTCAGCGTTCCATCACAGTATTTCTCAACTTCGCTAACCATCATCAGGCGTTTTTCATTCTTGTGGTTGAGATATGTGACTGTTGGCGGTGTCACGCCCCGGACCTAGCCGGACACGTCAACAACCCACCGTACAGTACGAATAGTCAACCACAGTCTAACTCATCCATACCCTACAAGGCGTCATGAATATCATTCACACATAGTACATCCATAAACAAACATAATGTAAAACATGCATTTAAAACAGCGGAAGCATTAATACAATTGTTCAAGCCACACTTGGCATAACTAGGCATACAAGCCCCCAAAGTAATTACTCAGAAAATAGTATCCATGAGTAATTGTTTTTAAAACAGAACGGAAGAAGCACGAACCACGTCTTCTTCCCTTGAGCCTCCCGAAGCAACGAGCAATGGTAGCAACCTTCAAGTTCTACCTAAAACTGTGAGGTGGCCTCCCCCGTGAAGGGGAGGTCAGTACTTGGAAGTATTTGACAAGTACAATAGCAACTATACTAAGTATAATCAACGTTTTAATTTCCAAGACCCTCAAAATAGGGTGATATCATAATATAAATAATAAATTATATTTCCCACTTATTATCTTTATAATAAGTAATTCATTTATTTGTCGGCACACAACCCTTCTTATTTATTCCTTTTCATTTATCATTTGCACAACCCAACCCTTGGGTCTTATTATTTCTACGGGACTTGCTACCGCTGTCCGAGATCTCATGAGGCTCCCGATTCGGACTCCAACATCCTGCCCCTAGACTCATACCCATCATCCCGTAGGAAGGTAAGGCCCTTCGGGGTCCTATCTTATGTGTTACCGCTACCGGAACCTAGTTAGGTCTTCGATTCGGATTCCACCCTAACCCGTGATCACGATGTAAGTCCATGCTATCCAACCCCGCTCTCTAGAGTCGGGAAGGGCCATGGTCCTTACTTATTTCCATAATTCAACCGGCTATCCACAAGGACTACCGAACACACCCGTAGGCCAATCCTATACCTAGGATCAATTTATTACTTACTTTACCTTGGGTATCCCTTAAGGCCTACCTCTAGTATAACTTAGAGTTCATACTTTCCTACCTTAAAGCATCTCTTAAGACTACTTAAGGCATAACATTTCACAATCCACTCTTAGGATCAATCTTAACAACATTTCATTTTAATGTCCAACTAGTATCTTAATACTAGTCAAATTCATACCAATAAACCAAGTTCTCAACTCATAGCCATATAGACAGTTCCAACTGATTTTCCTTTGAAAATATCATTTTTCTCAATATTCAAAATATCACTTTTAATCACTCATATATTCTAATATGAGGAAAAGTATATTTCAACATATGTTTCATAATTAATTCCACTCTCAAGTTAACATATTCATAACACATGATCATACACAATTTACTCTTAAATTTGTATATCATGCTCCATTTTCTTTAGACATTAGTTTTCTCATTCTTAGGCATTATTAATCATTAATAATCCATAAAAACACATTTAATTACCTTCGGTAATCTCATGAAATTAACTCACTAATTATAAGCAATATAGTCAGCCATCATCACCTCGTGATGTGCTACAATAGTTGCCTTTGTTAAGCTCCTCGATCAATCCCCGTTCTAGGCCGATTGAAAGTGAAAATCTGGACTGCTGGGCCAAATCCGGGCGGCTTTCACGAAAGCCGGGCGGCTTTCGTAGTCTGCAACTACGAACAGCTTCCTATATGTGGCGGTTTCCGGCGATTTCGACTCCTATCGATTCACCAACACTTCTAAGTTAAATACCACCACTTTATATCAATATTCTACACTTTTGAACGTGTAGAACATCATGTTTAATCCTCCATATGATTTCTTAAAAATCATGCATGATAAAACTAGTAAATGCATACTAGTTGGATTCTTACCTCAATTCCTAGCTTTTCTTCTTGGATCCTTCTCTCCTCTTGGTTTCTTCAGCTCCAGAACCTTGAGAGCTTTTTCCCTGGACCTTATCTCCCTTGTGCTGGCCGAACTGATTGAAGAAAAGGGTAGGGGAGAGGTCCTTCTCAACCAACACAATAATATTGTGAGGGATAGGACATGAGGGGTGTGGGTTTTTGTCTCTTGGAGACTTCCCACCTACTAGGTACACCCCCCTGCTGCCTTCCTTGTCACTTGCAGCACATAGGGTCGTGGGGTGGCCCCCACTTATGTGGGAGGTCATCCCATTATATCCCGGTGTGTATTATTGGCCCCGAAAGTTGTATTTTTCGGACTACTTTAGTCATATTTTATTTTATCGGGCCGGATAAAATATATCACGCGTTCCCAACAATTTCGGACCTTTAGAAACAATGTACATTCCCTAACATTAATTTAGGAGTCTCCAAAACTTATTTCGGGCTGTTATCTGCTAAATTACCAATACCGGTAATTGGGCCCTGTTTGACCAACTGGTCAACTCCATGCCTTTCTTATGGCCCAAATAGAATATCCACCACCATATAGATGTCATCTAGACCAAGATGAATACAATATGTGGTTCGGGAATTATCGGGCGGTCACCATTCCCGCTGTGGGCCCCACCTGCAATTTACTATTCACGTAAAAGAAATAATGAAATTTAACAATTACGTAAATTCATAAATCATCCTTCAAGGTTTATTACATAATTTACTAAAAGTAAATATGCTTGGGGACGGTGCTACAAGTTCACCCCCCCTTAACGGGAATTTCGTCCCCGAAATTCACAACGATTATTCAAACAGAAATGCATACTGTTCCTTCATCGAGGCTTCAGTCTCCCAAGTTTCTTCTTCAACTCGGTCACTCTTTCAAAGGATTTTAACCATTGGAACTTTCTTGCTTCTTAGATTCTTTACTTGCCTGTCAAGTATCCTTACCGGTTGCACGGCGTAGTTCAAGTCCTCTCGTATTTCCACGGGTGGTTTTTCTAGTACATGAGATGGATCCGGAATATACTTTTTAAGCATAGACACGTGGAATACATTATGTATTTTCTC